CGGCAGCAAGATTGTTGGTGGCGCAGTACTGGAAGAAAGAAGAATTGCCTACTATTCAAGAATGGATGTTAAAAGTAGTAAATTTAGCAGAGATGGCCAAAATCTCAGTATATTTAAAGGACCATTCAAATGAGAAATATAAGTTGGAATGGAGAAGATGGATTGATTACATTCAAAATAAAGATTGGACTAAGAAATTTCAATTAGCTTATGAATGAACAAGAAATGTTATAATTTATCTAAATTTAGTTTAATAAAAGGGGAGTTAAAAAGAGGGAGGTAGGATGCTATAGTTAGTTAGCTTATGTTAGTGTATGATTGTTAAATGTTTATATCCTGTATTTTGCTCTGGGAAGTTGGGAGGAGGGAGGGTTGGAGGTGGGGAGGGAAGGGGAAATATTTGTAAAATTTATTAAAACTTTTCAATTAAAAAAAAGAAAGCCTTCCGACTTGGAAAGTGGCTGCCAGCTAAATGGGTTGCTTAACCTTGTATAATTTAGACCAGGCTCGGCAACTTTATGAGGTATGATCTTCAGCTGCCATCCCCCAGCCAGCAAGGTGGGTAGCTTGGGAATTCTGGGGTTTTAAGTTCACACATCTTAACGTTGCCAAGTTTGAAAAACACTTATTATTCTAGACTTTCTCTTATCCCCTCCGTGCTCTCTTCGCCTATAGATCCGGAGCACAAGCAGGCACCTTCGAAACCTCTGGTGTTGGTAGATGACATTCTGGTTCTGAGCCGCTCTGCAGCGCGACTTAAAGATCACCTAAGCTCCAACCTTGGCAACTTTAAGACCTGTGGACTTCAACTCCCAGAGTTCCTAAGCCAGCAAAGAAAAGCTGGCTGAGGAACTCTGGGAGTTGAAGTCCACAGGTCTTAAAGTTGCCAAGGTTGGAGACCACTGATCCTAAGGCAATGGAGACTTTACAGTAATGGCAACGGACTGATCTGCCATTGCAAAAAATATAACGTCCGGTTTGCTGACAGCTCGTTCCGCGTGGAACTGGACAGAAAAACGGTCAGGGAAAAGTGCCCCAAAGGTACATTTCCAAAAGGCAACTGGACTTCCTTGTTTTTTTTCCCCCTTGAAAACGTTTCGCTCTTCATCCGTTTCTCTCGTTCTCAAGAACTGTCTTTTGGAAAAGCTCCTTTTGGACCACCACCACCTGGGCTATGCAGAACCTCCGCAGGGGGAGGGAGGGGGGGGGGGCTGGACAAGGAACCTCCTCCTTCATCGCTCCGTGGGCGTGGCCACCCGCGCAGCCCTTCGGAGCGCCCGCCGGATGTTCCCTTGTCAGCTCCCGGAAGTGACGTCGCGCAGCGCTAACTCCCCCCCCCCTCCGGCGGTGGCTGGCTGCGGCAGCTGTAGAGCCAGGCGGGGCCGGCGTAGGCGAAGGGAGCAGCCGTGCAACATGGCGGACGGCGTGGACCACATAGACATTTACGCCGATGTAGGAGAGGAGTTTAACCAGGTAGGAAAATTGTGCGCGGCCGGCTTTCCGCGGGGACGTTCCAAGCCAGAAATGGCACCCGGCGGGGAGGTGAGAGACCTGCGGCTTCGAGGGGCAGAGCGTGGCTGGCTAGCGCGGGCCTTTCAGCTCAGGGGAAAGCCGGCGCCATTGTTGACTGTGGCGCTCACAAGCGCGACTTTCCCGCCTGGCGTTTGGCGCGGCTGCACACCGGCTGTGTGCCCGGAGGATCGCACGACAGGGGCGCGGCATCGTACCTAGAATGCGCCTTTTCTCTCCCTTCTCCGCTCCGCCTCTTCCCTTTTCTCGTCGAGGCTCCCGAGCGCTAGGAGACAATGAGCCGAAGGAGGAGTCTTCTCTCCCTGAAGACTCCCCGTCTTGTTTATTCCCAATCCCGCCGGCTCGCTCCCTTCAGGAAAGGGAAGCTGGAATCACCCCGCGGCACAAAAACACGGCGGCCTTTTCTTCTATGAGGCTCTAAAATCATCGCGGGGAAAACGGGGCTTTCACGGCCTCCCTCTCTGTGGCGGATCCATCGAGATGGTCGCTTTCAACCTGTAGGGGTAAAAATTACCCCCCCCCCAAAAAAAAAAGAGTATGCAAGTCCTTCGGTGCCCTCTTTTATCTTTTCACAAAACGATTCGGTGTAATGAATTCGGGGCAACCTTCGATGTGCAAGTTTTAATAATAAACTCGATTATGCCAGAATGACATTTCCGTTATTTTTTTAAGAGCATCGGCTTCCGCAGATTAATTCTTAAAAATTAAATCGGTGTATTTTACATGTTTGGTGAAACAATTTTTTACTTTTGAAATCGGTAGAATTGGACAGAATTGTAAAACGGTTCGATTGCAGAACTATGTTCCCAGTCAGTGATAGTATTAAATCGCATATTATGATGTAAAGCTGATAAATTTGGTTCTATTCTTCCCTTTGTCATACTCTGGATTACAATTTTATAGTTCTCTATATCAGCAAGCATTTAAAACTGTACATTAAAAAAAATTCAAAGGCAAAATAATTTTCCATTGGCTAATCAAATATAGAGTAACAATTGAGAGTACAGATAGTCCTCAATTTACAATCACAATTGACCCCAACTTTTTTATTGCTAAGCAAGACAGTTAAGTAAGTTTTGCCCCATTTTACAATCTTTCTTGCAACAGTTGTTAAGAAGTTGATCTGGCTTCCCAATTGACTTAGCTTGTCAGAAGTTGCAAAAGCTGGTAATATAAACCTGGGACACTGCAAGTATCATAAATACCAGTCCCCAAAAGTCTGAATTTTGATCAAGTGATCATGGGGATGCTGCAATGGTCCTAAGTAGTAATAAATCCTGTTTTTAGTTTCATTGTAATTTTGAACTGTCAAAAATGAATGGTTGTAGGTCAAGGACTTCCTGTACTTACAGTCCTGCAGAAAATATTCTTTGAAAATTCCAACTGATTACAGATATTCCTCGATTTACTAGCACAATAGAGCCCAAAATGTATTTTGCTAAGCGAGACATTTAAGTGAGCTTTGCCCCATTTTGCAACCTTTCCTGCCACATCTGTTAAGTTAAATTAATACTTGGTAATATAGTAATTAGTATTTAATAATGCAATTGTTGCATTATTAAATATTAATTTAACGATGCAACAAACAATTGCATTGTTAAATCAGTATCACGGTTATTAAGTGAATCTGGCTTCCCCCATTGACTTTGCTTGTGAGAAGGTCACAAAAATATGAGTCAGTTGCCAAGCACCTGAATTTTGAACACATGACCATGAGGATGCTGCAATGGTCATAAGTATGAAAAATTGTACGTCACTTTTTTAGTGCTGTGGTAACTTTGAATAGTCACTAAATGAACTGTTAAGTACAGGAATACCTATACTTAAGTGTAGAACTTGGCAACAAAAAAAGAAGGAAAAGTATCCTGTACTGCTTTGTGCTTTTGCATAATTGTCTTGATTTGTATTTAAGTCATAGTAAATTGCTTTATATTTTATTGCTATTGCCATCAAGTGCAAACTCAATTGTAATATCTGCAGATATGCTATGAATTCTAAATCTATACTCATTGTTGGAGTGATGTGATTCTTTAAATTTTTGGTATTTGATTTCTCATATTTAAATGTAATTTGAATATTTTAATAGCAGGAACAACTTCTTCATAGTCCATGCAGATAATATTGCAAAGATGCTTCAAAAGATGATACCATTCCCAGAAATTTGAAGAAAGGTGGGATGACAGAACTATGTTTGATTTTAAAAGATATAGAAGTGTTTTGCAGATACATCATTGTTCAAAGATAGACTTCTCCCTTATTGATTGCATTTATGGCACTGGCTTTATCCTGTTTATCTAAACAGAAAGTAAACATAAATATTAGATGAAGTGATAAACAGAGTTATACAATCCCTGTCACCCTGATCTTACCAGTGTAGGTTGCCAGCTTTAATTGAAATTAATCATAGAGGTAGTCTCTATGATTAGTTTCAACTAAAGTTGGCAACCTCCCCATAAATTATGGGAGGAAGCTAACTGCTTCCATAAAACACACACACACACACACACACACATATATATATATATATGGTTTTTTTAATTTGTGCTGATAAATAAATAAAGGGAGACTAGTATAGATCTATTTCAAGCTATTTAGCTCTCATCAGCTAGCCATACCCTTACTGGGATTCGAACCAGAAAGGGCCGTAGATAGATATAGATCTATCTATCTACGGCCCTTTCTGGCTCTCTTTCTTAATAAAACATTTGGATTCATTACTACTTTTGTTCTTTTTATCCCTAGAAGACTGAGAAGATTGATTAAGAAGACCACATTGCAACTTAGTCATTAACCATTTATTAGAAATGTGATGGGCTGAGGGAGACAGAATATTGTCCTTATCCGTAGGGGGTCTTTTTGGGGAGGTATGAAGCATTCAAAGGAACATTTTGGATGTGAGCAAAACATGCAGAGGGATTATCTAAGTTACGTGACCAGCCATCCTTTGCCCACTCATACCTTGGTCTTAGCTCGCTGCATCTGTTTGTGTAGCAATAAAGAGGGGGAGAAATAGTCTCTGTGTCAGTGTGTGTGTGTGNTATATATATATATATATATATACATATATATATACACACACACACATACATACACACATATATAAATGTTACATAAATCTAAATGTTGTATATGTTCTCATGAATTTTCTTATGCCTGATTTGTTGAAATTTTAAAAAACCCAGTCATTATTAGCTTGGTTTGCTAATTCCATTGCATTCACAAAATATTACAGTTTCCTTCTGATGTTTGGCAGGCTATCAATATCTTAGAGATTCCTCAAAAAGGAGGTGTAAATATTTGCTTGTCAATGATGCTTTACCCATGGCTTAAGCTATGGGAAATTATAAAATGAGTCTGGCATTTCCTGTCAAAAGAACTCTGATTTATCAAGTATCTAAATTCCCTGATTTATCTAGTATATCAATTAATGGAACCGTCATTCCTATCCACTACCCAATAAAGATACTTACTGTGGGTTTCAGTGCCTGTTGATTTGTTTTCTGAAATAAGAAATTTTAATATATGACTATTTATCTTACACAGTAACGTAGGACTTATTTCTAAGAACTTCTTTATTCTATTTAATTCCAACTGTGTTAGGTAAAAGAAGGGACAAAGATACAACAAATAAAATATTGACTATGATATTCATAAGTAATTCTTAGAGACTGCCTGGACAAGTCCCTTCTTGACAAGATTTTTTTTTGCAAGTGGCTTGCCATTAACTCCTTTCTAGAGCTGAGAAAGAGTGATTGGCCCAAGGTCACCCAACTGGCTTACAATATCCAAATTGGCTGAAGTTCCCCATAAATTAACATCCAGGGTCTATGATGTCCACCATATTGTTAAAAATTATAATTGGTACTGTGAGAAATTTGAGGTTAGGCATCCTTAGGATTTCTCCCCAAATGATGGCTTATAAAAACTACATTCATTTTACCTGCTGAGTGCCTTATTTGTTACAGTACTCTCACAACTCTCCTTATAACAAATGTCGTGGTGCGCTTTATAGACTCTCTTGTATCTGGTAGGAAAACAAACATATAGCAAAGAATGAATGATGGGAAAATTGACCATAAAGAGGTACAGCATGGGTTGTAAATTAAATCCCAGAGTTTAAATCCCTTGGATTTATTTTATTTTTTTTACTCTGCAAGAATAACAATCCCCCAGTGCCCTAATAAAACTCCAGGCCCATTGGCAGAAAGACAGTACTCACATTTCCCCCAAAGCCTCAGCAGAATAAGGCAACCTGCAGTCTCCCCAAAATCATATTGCCAAATTTTGATGGTACACCTGGTGAAAGTTGACGCTATCTTGCTACTTTGGGGCAGAAGAATGATATTTGTAGTATAAATCTAAACTAGCCTTAATTCAGTGTGAAAGACATCGCTCCTCCCCACACACCCCTCCCTAGGCTTCCTGTGGGGAAAAAGTGAACAGGCAGGTTGGAATACAAAGCAGACTGCATCAGGGAGAGCAGGCTGAAATCTGAAGTTTGATATGTGAAGAAAAAAAATGGTCAAGAGTTACAATACTTACAGATAATGGCAGACAGGTCCTTCCCAGACTGGAAAAAGTTTTGTTTCAGAGTACAGTCGAGTACAAGATTGCGGCACTTTTTTACAAGCTGGTGGGGAAAAACATTATGTACTGAGGACATTCAATAAATAGAGATACATATTGGGATTTAATTTTCTTTGCGCAAATCATTAAAATTATTTAGAGCAATGCCAAGGAATTAAATTGTTCTTATGTGTATTTGTGTGTGCGGGGGGGGGGGGGGGATATATCTTGAAAGAGATTTGAAGAAGGGAAAGGAAACACACCAATAACAGGTACATGATACAACTTGATTGTATGTTAGTGCTGTATGTTCTCAGATAATAAAATATGCTGTACAACAAAGAGGGTTGTATAGATCACCTTGTAATTTCTGTAGCAAACAAGGCAAGAACAGTTTTTGTAAAGCACGTGAATGTCATCTTCTCAAAAAAAAAATCTGGTGCTTTTTACATCCTTATTTTTGTTTTAATTCTTTTTTCTTCTGTTCAATCATGTCTGGTTCTCAAACAACTGCTTGGACAAGTCCCTGCAATTTTCTTGGCAAAGTTTTTCAGATGCAGTTTGCCATTACCTCTTTCCTAGGGCTGAGAGAATGTGACTGGCCCAAGGACACCAAAGGTCTCCTGCTTTATAGCCTGATGCCTCAATCACTGCACTAAACCGATTCTCATAAAGTTAGAATTTTAAATAAAGCTCAGCATCATAATTATGCATTATCTTAAACAAAGCACCCTTAAAACTTCAACCTTTCCTCCCTCTTACAGTTCTGCCCACAGATACACAATTACAAATTGTGCTATGCAGTCATATTTCCTATTTCCTAATAGCAATACTGAAACAGCAATTCCACTCCGTAAAGCAAGCTTACAGCAATTCAACCTTTGCTCAATTTCTATCCATATATCTGTCTACAGTACTTAATTATGTAAGCCAGTAGCTATGTCTGTAGTATCTTTTTTCCATTAAAACAGATGGACACCTATATTTTGTAAAAATAAGAGCAATTTGAACATAGCAGACTGGAACACCTGCATAGTCTTCAGTGTCCTCCTTAATTCACTGTGACTTACTCTAAGGCTGTGATGGCGAACTTATGGCATGTGTGCCCGGCGTAGCCATGTTGCCTGGCACATGCAGCGTTGCCCGTTCCTCTTCTGGGTTTCTGCCGCGCATGCACACGGGCCGATCAGCTGGTCTTTGTGCATGCGGCAATGCCAGAAACCAGAAGAGCTGGTCTTCCATTTTCCAGCATGCGCATCAGCCAGCTGATTGGCGCATGCCAACTGGAAGACGCCATGTGGGCGCAAAACCAGAAGTTCAACCAGAAGCTCCTCTTCCTGGTAGCAACCCACACAAAATGCTCCCTTTTCAACACTTGGTGTGCTGAAAAGGTTTGCCATCACTGCTCTAAGGTAAGATGTTTAATGTTTATTATAGTTTAAATATGAACCCCTTCTCTGGATTATTCTTGGTGGCATAATTTCAGTTCATTATAGACAATATGAAAACAGAAAGAAAAGGACAGAGTTGGGAAATAATTGTTAGGAAAGGGACAAGATTTGTTCTAAGTTTTTATGCACATCTTATTTCATTTTTTCAATATCTACTACTACTTTCCATTCATGACCCAAACATGTACTTCCCACATATGGTTTTTAATGTTCATTTATAGATCAGAAATAAATTTTATGAATAAAATGTAGCTTGCAAGGCAGAGGTGGATTGCCAATTTCTTTACTACCGGTTTGGGTGCGCTCCCACATGTGCTCGTGCGATGCTTCGGTGCATACGCAGAAGCGTCTGGGTGGGCAGGCGGAGCCTCCTGCCACTGCTACTACCGGTTCGACTGATCCAGGCTGAACCGGCAGCAACCCACCTCTGTTGCAAGGTCAATATCTTCTGAACCAAAACTATACGGAAAGTGTATACACACACCCATACCCACACCCACACCCACACACCTTTATGAAAAATCACCTTCCAAAACCTTTTTTTAAGCCACTAAGTTTTTCTTTTATGTATCTGTAGCAATCATATTACAATTAGATTCCCTAAGTGGAATCTATATGTACACAAATATTACTTCCTGTTCCAAGAATATTTTTTTTCAGTTCATGAAATTTATCAGTTCCCAAAGTCTGATGAACATGACATTTGTGACCAGGGCGTGGGCATATGTCTTCTTTGGGCCAATTTTTTTTTGGCAGTATTGTAGCATATATTTATTACAGCCCATAAATCAATTTCTTCCCCTATTTCCCAATGCAGATTTTTAACTCAACTTCTCCTTCCAACCTATGGATAAATTTCTATGCAGTTTTTATCCTGCACTGTTAACACCATTTCTAATTCTGTATGTATGTTTTTCAGTCCCTTTAAAAAGAGGAGCAATGCTTGCATATCCAGGCCGATTCCTATTGTCCCCTTCCCCTCCTTCTTAGTAACATGTGGCAAAATTGTCCAGAAAAGCACACTTTGCTCTTAACTCACCTAGTTCACATAATCTGCCTTTGAATCCTGGAATACAGTCACAATTGTAAGACTCTAAGCCAGCAATGCAGGTCCCACCATTTTTGCAGAAGTTTATGGAACAATTCTGTCTCTCACCTGGTAATGCAAAGGGAAGGATGTAATACTCTGGCTATTTTTAAGATTCTTGATAATCCAGTACAAATCAAACATTACTTAAGGTTGGAGAGGCAAGGGGATAATCTTGGACCATCTCTATCTCCTTTCTTCAAACATACTTTCTCTCTTGGTACTCTCAGGTTCTGACAGCTGCACTGCTAGTTTGGCCCGACTAGTTGATTCCTCCACATTTTCTTCAACTTTCTTGAGAGCGTCTGGTTCTAGAAGAAGCAGGCAAGAATAGATTTTAACCAGAAAGTTTGTGCTGTGTAACAGAGCAGAAAGCCAAGAAGGGAGGGTGACCAATACATACCTGATTTCACAGAAACTGATCGACTTGGAGAGCTGCTGATTTTAGTAGTGATCCTTCCTCTACCATCCACTAGTTCTGTAAACCTTTAAAAACAGAAACGTTCAGACATTCCCATTTGCAAAGCTGAAATGATCTGCGCCAACTTAGCACCCCATGCATCTATAGTTACTGTATTCTAGTTTCATTTATTGTAATCCAGTTTCATTCTTTACCTGGGTGTTAGTGAGGGCTCCTCGGGGACAGAGTGCTCAGCAAGCACATGTGGTTCTCGTAGGAAATCTGGGGGCTTTCTGTTTCTCAACACCCGTGGAAGCCCAGTTTGTCTTTCAGAGATGCCATCCTTCGGCACTAAATATAAGACACGATAACAAAACTGGATGAATGGAATGTAAAAATCTGGGTAATTTGAGGCCTGTCTCCTTTTCAGCAGGGTATGCCTATGCCACAGTCTTAGAAAAAAAAATTCAAAGTATGCTGGGGAATGTTATTGTAATTATGATGCTGGGCAGATGGTAGAGTTAAGACTTTCCTTTTTACCCAATAAAAATCTTCCCAGAATAGAACAGATTCAGCAAGGGAGACATTCCTCGTCATAAAAATAATCTTGGACAGATATGTTAAATTTCCTTGAGGATGCAGTCACAACCAGATTCGTTCTATTTCCCTCCCAATTATTATTATTATTTTTTAAAATAAGATATTCAGTAATTGAGTTCCAAAAACTATGTTTGCTTCCTTGGTAGCAACATGATGTTACTTTAAATCGAAAGGATGAGCAAGACACTTAAGCCTTTCATTTGCACATCCAAGGAAACAAGATGCAAACACTGATTCTTACGTTTTGCTTAAAAATCATCTTACTTTTATCACAGAGGATAGAAGTAGCTGATCATTGAATGCATGAAGGATATAGATACAAGCTGCTGCTGATTCTGCCTTCCTCATCCTTAATAAGGAAGGTAAACAACAGCAGTATGAAGAATAATGTGTGATCTATACTTACAGGCTGTAATGTAAAGTTGGGCAGGCTCACTCATCACTTGTCCTTGATCAGTATTTTGAACAGCCATCACAGATAAGCGATACCTTTGACCTGGGTTCAGGTCACGCACTGTGTAGGAAAACAATTTTCCATTGGGGACATAGCGGCTCTTTACACTCTGGCTGGTACTGACATTGATGATGTAGCCTTCCAGTGAGCCCACAAGGGGTTGTTCCCAAGTCATCTGGACAGAGGTGGGTAAAACTCTGGATGCAGTGAGGTTTCTAGGAGACGGAGGTCCTGTTCAGAGAGAAGAAGGAAATTCGATTGGAATCCTTTTCAGCTGCCTATCAAATAAATAATTCTGAAAATGGGGGAACCCTCAACTAGTATTAGGCTTACTTCTCTGCTTTCTTAAATGAGTGCAGCTTCTGGGAATTCACTAGTTATTTGGCTACTGCGATTGTGTTACCTTTGTGCCTTCTTGTACATTTGTATCCTCTCTCCTCCCCCAATTTTATTCCATTCATTGAAAAGAAAGCATACTAAGTGTACTATTATTATTATTATTATTATTATTATTATTATACAATTGTATCATAGCGGCCAGTTGTTTCACCG